ATGTATTTATGTGGTGCATATAGGTGTATGATCTGTTCATTAGGTAAGAATCTTGGATTTTTGAAACTACTATGCCGGTTGTTTTGTCGAGTTTTGTCACTTTATAGCAGACCGTCACGGGAAGTAGAAGGAATATTAGGATCATCTTGACCTGAAACAGATTTAAAACTAGTATTATTTTTCCTAGGTCTTTTTATTCTATTGGGATTTGGGTTAGTCGCAGTCTTACTATGTGGGTCATAGTTTAATTCCATATATTTTGGTTTGTCTTTCTTATGGTAAGTTGTCTTTGCAAATATTTTATTGGGAAATGTAATATCTTTTTCGCGTTGTGTGTTTAGTCGTTCTGTTCTCAGTTCTTTCTCTTTTTCAATTTTCTCTTTTATAATTCTGTGTATTATATCTAGTCGGTCTTGGTATTCTTTTGCTCGTTCTTCAGTTATAAATTGTTCCACCATGTTGGATGTGTAAGGGTTATTAGTAATTCCGTATGTTATTTCCATTGGGGTCATTTTCAAAGTCGAATTTAGTGTGTTATTAAAGAAAGTCTCAGTGTTTTGGTTAGAGGTTATTTTTTTCGTGTTATGATTAAGTTTTCTATGGTCAATTACCATTCTAATCTTTTTTATTTCAGAAGCGTTCACCTTTCTCGGGACTACCCATATATGCGAATTATATGGTGAATTAGAAGGTCTAATAATTTTGTTTTCTAGTAACTTATCTATCTCCAATATTCCTCCAATGGGTCTACATTAATGAATTAGAAGGTCTAATAATTTTGTTTTCTAATAATTTGTCTACCTCTAATTGGACGTCCTCTTTGAAGGCTACCGGATACCTATAATTTTTTGTATAAACCGGTAGGTCGTCTTTTGTGTGGATTTTAAGTTTTAACAGATCGGTACTACTGAGTCGATCCTTTTCTCCTTTTATAATCTCGGGAAATTCTTTAATCAGATTTATAATTTGGCATTTTTCTTCTTCGTTCATGTGGTTGGTTCTAAGCAAATTAGGTATGTCTCTTAAAATCTTATCTTTATCAAATTTATTATTTATATTATTTGGTTTATATTCAACTATTTCATCTATTTCCATGGGCGTGGGACTAATGGTCATCAGCTCGTTGGAATAGACAATACATCTACATTTGTTATTTTTTATTTTAAACAAACCTTCATTAATTCTATATTTTCCGTTGTCGAAGGGTTTTATTATAGCGACTTTCGTGTTTGGCATTGACCTAACAGGAAGTTCGACTATGTTATTCCCTTGTTTAAGGTTAATTTTTCTTGGCTCAGTTGGAAACAATAATTTTTTTAACCTTTTTCATACTCTAATATATTTTTATCAAAATTAACATTGGCCTTAATACAACTTAAGGTTTCATGTCCCAACAAAATATCGTATTTCTCTGAAAAATCGAATAGGCACATTTTTATTTTATTATTAGTAGAAAATATTTTCTGGGGATCAAACAGAATATATTCGGTTCCTTTACTTTCTCCGGCCGGAGTCTTTACAATAAAGTCTTCTCTGTATTTAGTTATAAAAGAGGGAACTATTGCGGGATTAATGTAATTTTTAAGAGAACCTGTATCGATAAGCCATCTTCTATTTGAATCATCAACGAAATGGGGAAGAGATTTATTAATTGATTTTAGTTCAAATTCGGGGGTCCTTCCTTTGGGTTGTTGCCTAAGCCTAAAAAATGATCTAGTTTCTCTGTAATGCTATTAACCGATTTTGATAATTGATAAATCTGATTTTGTAAATGTAATTTTTCAGTATTTTCATTAATATGTGTTATTTCGTACGGAGATATAAACTTTTTGAAATTTAGTCTAGAAGATTGTGTTCGCATAGAGACTGTGTTTTGCGAGTCTATCTTTTGAAATGGGGGTTTTTGGAAAAAATTTGGTTTTTGATGAGGTTGGAATGGGTGGTTTTGTTTAAACGTTGAATAATGATTAGGAACGAATTGATTTTGAGGTCTAGGGGGATATTGTGGTTTCAGGAAGGCATGTGGAACATATGTAGGTTGGTATTTTCTTTGGTGAGGGGGTTCGTAATTTGGTATTTTATAGTTAGCGTGTACGGCAGTTGGTTGTTTGTGTGTTTTGTTTATAACTTCTAGGCTAGGGTTCAATTTTAACTGATCCAATACGATACTACAATCATTAATTAATTTACTTCTAGCCGTGTCTAAATTTTTAGGTCGAAGAATTTGTAAATGAGTACCAAGTGTTGGGTGAATTCCGTGTATTAGTGTTCTAACAAGTGTGGCGTCAAGTTGGTCGATTAACATACTTAAAATAGGATCTTGCATGCCATCTAGTCTATACCTTGTGATCACGGTCGTACGTTTTTCATCCAGACGATTTAAAAATTCGATGGGGTGTTCCCGGTTATTTGACTTCATAACTGTTATTTCTGCTATAAGATCAGGAATTGTTCTGTTGTCAGCGAAATTCTTATTTAATGTTTTTATTAGGTCTGTAATATGTGTGACATTGTTATTCAAGACTACTGCTTCTGCAGGACCATCTAAGCGGCACATTGCAGCTCTGAATAGAAGCCAGTGATTTGAATCTTTTTCGATAATTTCATTCGCACAATAGGCAGAATAAATTTCTTGTATTGTGCCAATGAAATTGGGTAATTTGTACGTCGCACCATCATAACTTGGAATGTATTTAAGGATTTCGGTGGCCAAAGGTTTTGATAGTTCGTTATCAGCCATGATTAATGTGGTAATATTTGATCTCTTATTATGTAAAAAGGAGTCACTTACTGGAGGTTGATTGGTAGGTTGGGAGTCTTCTTCTTATGATGATGGTGGTGAAGGTGCAGATCTTCTGTTGTAAGGTTTGAACCTTAGGCGATTCCGGCTAGCCAGTCTGTTGTTGGGGTGAAAGACCACGAGTTGCTCTGGTGTCCTCTGTTGATGAACGCGGCGAATTAAGAGTAAAAACTCAAGTTGCTTTTCCGCGGGATTAATCACGCGAGTTAAAGACAATTGGTCTTTTCAAAAGAACTTTCGCCGGTCCCAATTAATTAGAGACTTTTATTTACAAAATCCAGATCTCGAACCCGATAGATTAAATTTGGAAAACGAATCTAATATAAATCTAGAAAATGAATCCATCATGGTCAATGTAGATGAACTTGATGGAAATGTAGATGAAAGCATCGACGATGACGATGCGATGGTACATTCCAACGGAATTAGAAATACGGTTACGAATATACGGATTATTGAGGGTCCGGTTAATTTCAGTAAAAATCAAATAATAATATCGGAAGTCGAATTTAATCCGGCAAAGCCCAAAATTATGAAGTTGTTCGGGAATTCAAAAACAAGAATAAGAGTCCAATTTTCAAAGAACGATTTTACTAATGACGTTATTAAATTTATAAAAGAATTCATCGTGCCTAAAACAGCATATCACTTGTATTTCGAGTCAGATTTATACGAAAAATTTGCGAAAGTAATAATGGAGGTATTCACTTATTCAGAACTGAAGTTTTTTAAATGTACAGAAAAGCGTATCGATGTTTTGGAGGAATCCGATATCAATGAAATTATAGAGAAATATCATATTTTAAAAACAAATCATAGGGGCATCACGGAAACGGAAAGTAAAATTAAACGTCTATATTATTGGCCCAGTATTAGTAAGTCTGTACAGGAATTTATTAATAGATGTGAGGTATGTCTTTTAACGAAATACGATAGACAACCACTGAATTTAAAGTACAATTTGACTCCGACACCAAGCAGACCTTTTGAGATTGTTCACATTGACACAATTACACTAGAGAATAAAAAGTTTTTAACAATAATAGACACCTTTTCTAAATTCGCTCAAGCCTACAAAATAGAGTCGAATCAAGCAATCGAAATAGTGAATAAGTTAATAAAATTTTTTGCATCTTACAATGTTCCAAAGACTATTGTGTCAGATAACGGGCTAGAATTTAACAACAGTCTAGTCAGGGAATTACTATCGCTACATAGAGTCAAGTTGCATTTCACATCGTCTCAACACCCGGAATCAAACGGCTCTATAGAAAGATTCCATTCCACTCTCATCGAGCATATCCGACTTTTTAATAACCAACAAGAATTCATGCACGAAGATATCGAAAACAAAGTAAACTATAGTATTTTGGCATATAATCACTCGCTTCACTCAGTAACAAAATTAAAACCTATTGAAATTATAAGTGGGCATTTACAGAACGAATCTATTTTTAAAATCAATTTAGAACAACAAATTTTAAGTAACTATGTCAGTAATCATAAAAAGAAAATAGATTTGTTATATAAAACGAGAAATTTCTTTAGCGCATAAAGAACAGATTATTGAAAAACGAAATGAAAACAGAATAGATATACCTGAAGTAAATATACCGAACGAAGTTTTTGTGAAAGTCAAGCAAAAACAAAGCAAAACAAAGAATAAATACAAAAAAGAGAAAATAAAATCCATAAATAAGAATCTAAAAACTGCCGAAATCATCCCAAGTCATCACAACACAATAGACAAAATACACATATCAAACATTAAAAGACCAAGAAAATTAACAAATTCTCGCGACATTCCAGGTTCTTCCCACTCCTCTTCTGAACCACAGCCAGAGGAATCAACATAGTTTATATTACAAACGTCATTGCCATAATTCATGTAAACCTTGGTTCAGCAAAGTTGGAAATTTCAGAACATACTTTTATTCATTATTTTAAATTAAGAGAATTGTTTAATCAATTAGAATATTTAGAAAATTTTTATAACCATGTATCGAAGATTGTCTACTCTAGTAATAGTACAAATGTAAATTATGTAAATAATAGTAGTAGTAAATTAAGACATATTGTAAATACTTTAGAACTAATGTTCGCTAAGTGGACTGTATATGAATGGGTAAATAAATTTATACTTTATTTTTAAAGAGTGAATCCGAGGAGGGGATTGGGATACATTTAAGTTTGCACTTACCCCAACGAGTTCAAGCAGCTCGGCCCCAGTCGTCCTCTTCTTTCTTCGACTAGGTAGGGCCCCACAGTCTCCGGCGGATTCAGATGTTTGGTACCGAACTCTTAAGGGACCCGGGCAATTAGGAAGGGCGATCGGCGTAAACATCACCACCCACCAAAGCACGAAGGGCTTTAGGAAATAGGACGTCAACATAGGAAAAAACACAAGAAACCAAAATTGGAACTTCCATATGGAAATAATTAAAGGAAAAGAAATCAACTTGATGGAGGGGAAAATTACATAGGTACCCACCTAGGGTAGTAAACAGACAAATAGAAAGGAAAAGTCAAACTCCAATTAAAGCAACAAAAAATAGGGTTTCCACCCACCAAAACAAACAGACAGGAAAATATGTACAATATATACAAGGAGACTGACTAACTCTAAATCAGTCAGGCAGGCGCAATAATTTATTGACTGGACGAGTATAAACACCTCGAACAGTTTGAACAGTGGCCACTCGTACGATTCCATCCCTGCCTGGATGCAACTGGGTAATTCTGCCCATGGGCCAGTCGAGAGGGTTGCTCGTCAGGTCAGTCAAAAAAACTATCTCGCCATTACAAAGGGGCTTACAATGAGTAGCCCATTTGACTCGGTTGTTCAAAGTTATGAGATATTCACGGGTCCATCTTTTCCAGAAGGATTGGGTAA